TGTCAGTTTGACATGCTGAAGGGTCAGAAATCTCCTGAAGGAGCACAAAGAAAGAAATCTTTCTTTTCTCCCAAGGAATGGATTTAACTAACTGATTCGAACATTCAATGGCTGTTTTAGCTTTGAAATAATTCCAACTGGTGGTCTACCAAAAATTCTAAATAGGTATATTTTCAGTAGTTGAGCAGGTCAGGCAGTGAAACAAATTTACATAAAGCAATTGATTAATACGACTTCACAGAAAAGAATTATATTACTGACAGGTTCATTAAAGTTTTTTCTGTTTTGTTTCCCTATAGTCCACATATAAATGACAAAGGATCAGATACAAGCAAATCAATAACAAACCCTAGAAATCTGACTGCAGAATTGAGGCTCTTAGAAGGGGAGGGAGAAAGCAGAGTAGGGAGGGGGTACAATGGGCCTGTGGTAGAGAACTATGGGTACCTTGCTGATGGGTGTGGTGTCATAACATACATATCCAGGGTGTGATCCTGTACCTCTAAATCAAATACAGTGTTGTAAACCAATTTAGCTCGATAAAAACAAATAAAAATAAAGTACAAATAAAAATAAAGTTAATAACATAAGAAAAAATGAAATTTTAGATATGCTACTTTTAACCTGACTCCAGAGATACTGTTACTGGACCCAGCTCTACCTTTACTTGACAAGGAGAAGAAACTGAAAGACAAAAACCCAGTTGTACAGAGAGGAATGGACTTTGGATGGTTGCTCTTTTTGTATTTCTAATAGAGGTAGTGAGAGATCATCTATCTCATTAGCATATGCACACCATAGGGCTTCTTAAATAATCCCAGATCTGGGCAGCCTGAACAGACAACTCTGAACACAGAAAGACAGAAGGTGGGTCACCCAGGAGAAGCTGGAGAATTTGAGAACTGCTGAGTCTTCTGGTCTCTGGCCATAGCTGTGGGCCTTCTGAGCACTTTAAATGGCCAGATTTGGGATGTCTTAAGAAGCTTAGAATTTTGCATTTGAATCAGTCATGTAGCCTTTGTTTTGAAAAATTAAAATCTGCTAATGTGGAAAATTATGGGATACTGTCAGAAGAGGAGGCTGACCAGATCATGATGTCACCATCTTTCCATGAGCAAATGCACTAATGTATGTCAATTATTTAAACAAGTAAAAAATAAACAATATGAAAAAAATAGCCCCAATTACATTTTTTATCTCTGAAATGTCTCACCATCAAGTAATTCCAAGTTTATATGCACTACAAAACTACTCCAAGTAAACTTTAACCTTACAGGAAGATTCAGATAAACATGACAAAGGTGAATAGACACTAAATCAGGTCAAGAAACATATTGCAAGAAGAGTATAGGTAATGGTTTTACTTTCCAGTCATATTATTTATCATAAAATATCCCTTTAAAATCCATAATCTTGCTTCTTTAATTATGAAAACAAAAATCAATGTTTGATTTATGAAAATGGTTTCTGTCACAAAAAATAATCATCTTCTTATGCTTTGATATGTGTATCATTCAGAATATTACATGTTCTTATTTTACCATTACACTGACTTAAAAAATACCTTTCCTCACTGGAGTTGTATACTATTGTTTTAAAGTAATAAAAATATGCTGTTCATAGATTTAACATCTGACAAGCTATCAAAGTTGATGATGGAAGTTACTCCTACCATGATATATTCTATCTCAAATTCCAGTCAAAAATGCTTGCAGTATATCAAAAGAGAGAGAACTAGAATCATGAAAATCCCCATGATCTTCATTTTAGATATAAAGTGATTTTTTAGATATAGATATTAAATCATGATTCTGTTAATAATTTGGCTTATTCTGACCAATGAACGTCCCTGATTTAAGCTCCTGTCCAATGACAGCATTCTCTGACTTTTAGTTAATATTAGCAATGTACCGCCTTTACATCATGCTAATGACTACACACTAAAAGGTCCAGTCCCTCCAAAGGAATCCAGTGATATACAAGTCTTTAAACAAATATACGCTTAAAATTAGCATTAAAAATTGTGCTACCTGAAATATAAAAGAAGAGGAATGCATTGACTCATCTCCATAGGACTATTCTTGGTAATGTCTGACCTTCTGTAGTTGAAAGGACCGTTTTCTTTTGCTTTTTAAAAACAAAACAAAAACACCCAAAATGCCCTCTTTCTTTCCCTATAATACGTCTCCATGAGTATAATAAAAAATATCTTTTGCTCTGATAACCTACCCTAAAATTTCAAATGTTTACAGTCTGAAAAATCAGAGAGGAAAGAGTTAACAAGAATACCTCTACTACCATTCCCCTTTCAGAGGAAAAATATAGGTCCTTAAACCTTAAAGGAAGAGATGAAAAGTAAGGGGGTTACAAGAATTTTGAAGTTCAGGGAGGAAGAAAGCACTGAAATCTCAGTTGTAAGCATACAAAGCATCTACAAGAAGCTTCCTTCCAACTATAATAACTTGGTGTACTTACTAGAAAAAAAAATTATGATCACATGAGCTTCATGCATGATTGATACCATTACTATTTATTTTTAAGACTGTCCTTGAGAATCAATCAAATAAAGCATCCCCAGTATGTTCTGGAAGCAAGAATGAGGAACATGATATAAGTGCCTTTTCTGGAGATGTGATGCACTGTTTTTCCCATCAGTGTTGTCTACCAAAAAGAAACATTTAATAAAGGTGAATCAGGCAGAAATTTATGTCAGAACACATCCTATCATCCCATGGTTCTTTACAATATGTTGAATTTACTAGCAGCCACACTGATCATTAAAAAAGAAGAAGAAGAAGAAGAAGAGGCTATCATTACATATAATGAAGTATCAAAACCAACTGAGGAATAGCTTAAGAGCTTAAAAATACTATTTGGATATAACACAAACTAAAGTTTTATAAGGACTTGGAAAGCATATGCCTCTAATTTTTCATAATTTAATCTTTGTATTGTATAATAAATATGGATGGAATAACTTAAATACTATAAAGATGAAAAAATAACTCTTATGATCATATTTCCATGAACATTTTTATATGCATCTTAATGAAGCAAGAGATAATGGAAATTCAAAATGAAGTCCTTCAAATCATAACTTATCTTCCATAATATTATCTGATTTAAATAACTGAGAGATTCAAACTATGAAGAAAAACAATCAAATTTGTGTTTAGCCTCAAAAAGGAAGCTACGCTATTCCAATAGGTCTGAAAGCAAATCTAAGACTTTCCCAAAGCAGGTTGCCTTCAGTGCAGGCCCTCCCTCCCTCTCCATAGTGAGCAAGATAAAACCTAGCACTTACTTTAAACCACCTCCCCCACACCACACCTCACCACCAAAACCACTACCACCAATCTGAGGCAGTAGGCCCTTCTGTTTATGACATTAGAAATAACAGCTTGCCACTTTATTCCTCCAGTCTATGAACTAATTATTTCTTCACTTCAACATTAAATTATCTCTTGATTTAAACGTTAGGTACAAAAATCCATCTGTGGCATATAACTCCAAAAGTTCAAATTTGCAATCAAGAAAAGTCTGGACTTTTAGACTCTTCCATCTCTCTTTTTATTCACGGAAACAAAGTTGTATTTTCCTAAGGTTAAACAGTTTGGATTTTGAATCTGGATTTTGTGTAATATGATCATATCCAACATCTGTAAACTACTTTGACTCTTTTGATAATGGTTCTTACTTTTGCAAATGCTTTGCTTCTTCACCAACCATCACTTACTATATAGGGTCCTAAGAACAGTTCATATAAACACAGGGTCATATTCAGAATACACTCTCACACATGGCATCTATTATGCACACTTTGTATATAAATCTCTTACATGAAACACATTCAAATACTGTGCAACAGGTCCTGCTATTGTGTAAACACACAGTCCCAGCAAAATATCAGTAAGCTTGAAAGGATCAACAATATTTAAAAAAAAAAAATCACATTATTCTTCAGAGACCTACTCATAATCCCTTTGAGATATCAGAGGACAGATGATCTAATCAAAATGAGGTTTTCGTTTAGTTTAGTTTTTTTTAACTAAGACATTCTTACTATGTTTGTCTTCTAGCATGTACTTGATAAACTGGTATGAGAGCCCAGGTGTATACAAGCTTCCATTGATTTATTGCACATCACTGGCTTTAGTGCTGAGTTGATGACAGGAAGAGTACTTTGGCAGAGGTCTGACAAGTCCTTATCCTTAAGTTCCCTTTTGCTTTGTGTCTGCCTGTTTCCACAACTATCAAAGTAAAGCAAATGACAGTCTATAAACCCTCTCAGCTTTGCCATGAGAGTGTGAAATCAAATTAAAAACACATCTCAGAACTATTATATGGGGCCACATTTATTTTCAGCTGGCGGGGGAGGGGAAGGGAAGACACTTAAAAAGAGATGGATTTCATGTCCTCTGTGTAGCCAGATCTAGTTACAGAGTATTAAGTTATGTCTAAATGAGAAAAAGACTGTCTCGTCAAGTGTTTTATCACAAACTAACGTTATTAAACACATCAAGTATCCCCACTCTCTCCTCTCTAGATTCTTTGATTATCACCTCCTTTGTTAGGCACAAAACACAAGGAGAAAGATCTCAGCAACAAAGCTAAGGCAACACAGGATGCCAAGCACCGAATTCTCTATTCCCCGAGCAGCTTATCCATCACCAACGCAAGCTGCTTTCATGAAGTCACACGTTTGCTATCTGCAGGACTTCACCTCTTGCCTGGGTGAAAAGCCTGGACCAGCCACAATTGAGTCTCTCTGAGCGCGCAGCATCGTGCTTTGTGCTGCTGGGGATAACGGATTCTCAGCCTCCAGCGCATCCATCACCTAAGACACCGGGAAACTCAGCTAGGATCTCCGCGGCTGCAAGGGAGACAATGTGCAGAGGCACTGGCTGCTCGGAGCTAGCAGGCTGCAAAGAGCGAACGAAATGTTTCGGGGTGCAACCAGGGGAGGGGGGCAGGAAGAAAGCCCTGGCACTCTCTCTTACCTCCACATTGAAATACTGCTCCGTTCCGCAGACGGTAGCACATAAAATCCAAAGCAAGGTTTGCAAGAAAAACACCCCCGAACGATGCACGAAATCCAACCGTCTTCCAGTGCTGGATGCGAGTAAGATCATAGTGAACTGTGCTTCAATGGACGGACGAGCTCCCCTGCGTTCTCTCCCGCTCTCCCTCCCTCCCTGCTTCCCTTTCAAAAAAAAGTCCTCCGGGTGGGTAGGGAGCCTGCAGGTTCACCCGCGGCCGGGCAAGGGGAGGAGACCCGGGGGCCCCTGCGCTCGGCAGCCCCCCCAAAAAGCAGCAGCGGCAGCAGCGGCGGTGCAGGCGGGCTCAGCGGCAGCTCGCGCTCACCATCCTCGCGGACCCTCCGCCGGGAACGTGGCGCCCGAGTTCACCCGCGGTTCCGGCTCGAGCGCCCAGTCGCCGCCGCCGCAGCAGCCGCCGCCGCCTCCTCCGCCGCCGCCGCCCCCTCCGCTGCCGCCGCCGCCGCCGCCGCCGCCTGCTGCTGCGGGCAGGGCCTCGGCTGCTCGTCGCTCTCGCGGCGCTGCTTCGCCTTCCCTCCGCGCCGCGCGCCCCGCCGGAACGCTCATCCGTAATCTACATAACTCCTCCTTCCCGGGGTCTGCCCGGCTCTCCGGCCCGCGGCGTGCGCGCGCTCGTGCACACACACACACACACACACACACACACACACACACACTCACACACACTCACACACACTCACGCACAACCCGACACGCGCGCGCGCGCGCGCGCACACACACACACACACACACACACACACACACGGAGCTCCACGCGGCGCACACACGACCTCACACCCGCGCCCGCGCGCCCGCGCGCGCGCCTCTTAAAGGAGACGGACCCGACAGGAGAAGCGTGGCCGGGGCGCGCGCGGAAAGTAGCCGGCCCGGCCCGGAGCCCTGCCTGGGACGGGCTTTGGACGCGAGACCCGTTCCTTAACCCCCGCGCACGCCCCGCAACCGGGGCCGCTCCCTGTTTGCTGGGCGCCCACTCCCAGCCCGGCGCCCCGAAACAAGTGCACCCCTCCCCTGTTAGGACTGGGTGGGGCTCAGCCTGCAGACCCCGGCGGGGCTGGAGGGTGCGCGGGGCCTGCTTGTTTCTGGAGCGCCGCCGGCGTGCCCAAACGCGAGGCCCTGAAAGGTCAGCAGGCGCTGGGAATTTGGAGTAACGCCCCGGTCACTCTGCGCTGCTGCTTGGGGGGTGCAGGGCTGGTGCCAGGGGGGGCAGGTTTGGGGAAGGCTGAGGTGGCAGGTTAAGAATGGCCAGAACTTTGTTGGGGTCCACCGACCGAGCCCGTGGCCTGGGGTCTGCCTGGATCCTCTGTAACATCACTTCAGCCCTCCTTGAGGGTCGGAGAGCGGTCGCAGTTGTTGGGGTAGTTTGGTGGAGTGGGGTCTAGTCGCCTACTGGAGAGGGGAGAAAGTGCTCAATCTCCGGAGCGGTGTGTGGTCGGTGGGAACACACTGGGACCCGGGAGAGGGAGTCCTGGGTGTTAAAGGAAACATTGGACCAGAGTTGGCGCTGGAAAGAAACCCTCCGCCCGGGGCGAGGGGAAAGCTGGGGAAGAAAGAGGGAGCAGCCTGAGGAAAGGCGAGTAAAGCAGCTGGCAGGGGCGGGAGGAAGAGGCTGCGAGCAGATCTAGCGGGGGAGAGGCTGGCGGAGCGAGGAGAGCTGCAGGCAAGAGGGGGAGGCTGCTGGCGAGAAGCGCTGGAGAACTGCGGGCAGGAGAACTTCGGGAGAGACTGCCAGCGAGGACTCCAGCCTCAGCAGTGTGAGGCAGTGGACAGGGGGGGCAGCAACCACCAGCCCTTGGCAGGTGATGGTTTGGCTGAAAGATAAAGGGGGAAGGGTGGCAGGCAGCATCTGTTTGGGGGCCTTGCCAATAAATGTGCTTCTCCTCGGCAGCCAGTGGAGGGGATGAGGAGCCCAAGGGAAAGAAATGCAGGAGAGGTTGAGAATAAAGGCTGCTCCAGGTATGACAGCTACCTCGGTGAGGTGGAAGAGAGAATTGACAAGGAAGATTTCATAGTTGAGTCGGTAAAGAGAGAGGAAGAACTGCAAGAGGTCACGTTTGGTAAGCAGATGGAAAATGATGAAAATACCTTGCCAAAAATTGCACTGGACTGTAAAAAAGTGTATCCTAAAGAGAAACACAAGAAAAGCTAAGGAATGGGATTGTGGAGTTACTCCCTTAAAAACTGGAAGAAACGTGACCCATCCAGTTTGACCAAAGACTCAGAGAGAGGTTTTCCTGACAGTCCCATGTTCCTAGCATATGCTATGCACAGCAGCATTTTGGAGACACCATAAGAAGAAACACCCTATAACATATTGAAAATTGCAGAATATTTCCATAGGTAGCATCTCATTTAAGTCTCACAACATCTCTGAGGTTTTGTTTTCGTTTCACAGATGAGGAAAATAATGGTAATAAAAGAGAACTTTTTAGCAAACCATTCAAGTAGAAGAATTCAAACCCGAGTTTGTGTACTTTAGTTCAGTGCATTTCCCACTGCCCTCCAGTATCTTTCCATAGAGAAATTCATCCCTGCTCTTAACAATTTGATAACCCATAGTTGAGATAGCCTACTTAAAAGAAGCAATTAAAAGCCATCATGAATGCAAGGTCAATAGCTAGGAGTAATATGGTATCCTATGCCAATATAAAATAGTAAATGTGGTGGGGAGCAATTAACAATAAATTAAGAATCACTTTTATATATATATTATTTGTACCAAAGTGCAAAATTAGAGAGGGAAGAGGATAGAGACAAAAAACTGTATATTCTTCCTAACTTTTGAGATAGTATTGAAAGAAGTGACTTAAATTTATACAAAACATGCTTGTGAAAACAGTTCTAAATGGTCCTTGCTAAATGAGCCAGAATATGAAAAGATTTTATTAAGGATGTGGAATACAAGTTGAGTGCTACTGGACTATCAGCAAGAAGGGACATCCCACTGCAAGCAACCTGTTTTTTCAAAGAAAATACCTATGCTTAGAACAAAGAGATGGATTAACAAAACACTTGTGGAGAACAAGAAATGGGAAAGAACTTGCAATGAAATATTTAGTTGATATTTGATTAACTAGGCAAATAAGGAATGCTAAACCACTTTAGATAGGAATAAATATCTAGGGAAGAGTACCTTGAACATATACATTGCATTGACCATGTGAAGAGATTGGCTGCAAAGAGCTAACAATTAAAACATGGTTGTAATTCATCTCTGCAGCTATAAGGACCTGCACTGTTAGTGGTTCCTTGGGAACCTATGCTTTCAAGGAGTCATTGTAAGGGGAAAATCACTGAAAGATGGGAATCCTTAATTCAAAAGATAATTCAAATTAGTGATTAGCAATAATCATTATTTAAAAGATTAAATTCATTAATGAACAATGAATGAATGAAAAATAGTCAAGAGTCTAGAATTTCTAATAGAAATAAAATACTGAGACAACTATATAACAAAGATGGCAATGCTGTAAGAACATAGGTAGTTACATATGCAAGATGGTATGGAACAGAGTAGAAAAGTACTTGATTTTTCCTGAGGCCCTTGGAGAAAGCACCATAAAAGAGGTGGTTCTTGAAAAGGTAACTTGAAGAATATGTAGAAATATAAAGGCAGATGTGAAAAGGAAGGATGTTTTAGACCTATGTAAAATGAAGGAATAAATATATATTAGGGAACTATAAATGGTTTATCAGGGCTGGAAGGCAGAGGGTCTGTAAAGCAAAGTCAAGGTCAGGTTTCATGGGTATGCAGAGATCAAGAAGAATCTTGTGTTTAGTCTTTCCATCAGGAATTCTTAAAGGGAGATAATGGAATTTTTATTGCCTTTGTTGTATATTTGCTCACTTTTTGGAAATATTAACCTTTTAGAACTTTTGATAATTTTTACTTCATAGGTTCCATTAATCATTTATTATTTATTCTTTGTAGACCTTATATCTGTGCTAATCTAATAAGCCTAACACAGCTATTCCCTGTGTGGACTCAGCTGGGTACCTGCAGTAGTGTAATCACCTTCTTTTGTCAGGTGAGTTTATTATTCCATCTCACATCTGTTACATATGCTTATATTTTGAGGATTAAAATTATGAAGTTCCTATTCTCACATCTTGGTATTGTTGGCTTCTTCATTGCTGGTCTTTTTGGAGAAGTACTTGTTTTCCAATCACAGTAAGTTAAAATATAGAATATCACTGTTCCCTTTAGATTATTAGTGAAATCTTCCCTCAAAACTCTTGACCCTTCCTGTGTGCTTTCTGTCAGATGCTTTCTCTATTCTCACTATTTAAAATACTAATGAACAATCTAAGAATTAAATGTGACTAGAAAACAGAGAATCCAAAGGAAATTAAAAGAAAAGTGAATAAGTAAGCCAAAAGAAAGGAATAATTGCCCCTGGTGAAGGTTAATGGCAATTCAGTAAAATATTACATGAGAGCAGAGGGGTCTGAGAAGTAAATAATATATATAAAACTCTCAGGAGGCAAATGACAGGCACGTAAAAGTGAGCAGAGTTGAGTGGCATGCTGGGATGCATGAATGATTATAACTACCTAAAATAACATTAGAGGTAAATAATGTGTTATAACTGTCATTGAACCAGAATTCTTTATAAATTAGAGCCTTCAAAATGAGTTCCACTGCTTGTTCATTACTCTATTGTACCAATTTATGTGCTTTCTTCACTACTGTATCAATTGAACTTGTACATTTTTTTAAATTCAAAGAATATTGAAATAGTGCTCAGATATCGACATTCTCTCATGCATCAGTAATTGCCAGGGCCATGCATATGTAGAACCATCATTGACAGCCTTGTCATTTAAGGCCTGCTCCTGGGTGAAAACTTAAGATCTGAAAAATTGTCAGAAATGCTGAATCTCTAGCTGTAGCCAGATTCCCTGAGGATTCATGTGCAGGATAAAATTGAGAAATTACTAGCTATTATCACTGTCCTAAAACTGATATGAATTGTTTGTCTTTCCTTCATTGATTTTGTTCTCTTTTCACCTATGAAATATTAGTGTTTCTCTAATATTTTATTTTCTGTTCATTTATTTTTTTTCCTTCATTCTTTCACTGGACATTAATTAACTACTGTAAAATGCTAAGCAAATGAGGATGTAAAAAGGTAAATGTGAAGTGAGTTAAGCTAGCTGGTCTCATTTTTGTTAGGGCCTAGGATAAGAATGAAGTTGTTTCAGTTGGGCTTACTATCAACATAAATAACTAGTAGTGTAAAGTATAGAGACGAGATTTTGATTTAAATCAGTAGAAATAATCCTCCAGTATCTCCCTGTTTCTTCATGGAGCACCTGAAGTTTGGAGGTCTGAGATGGCTGGGAACTATGAGGAACCTAGCA